TTAAATGAGATTCCAAAAGAAACGCTGACTCAAAGGTGTTCGCATCAGAATGACTCGCTCGCAGTCTTCACAGGTAAAAAGAAAGCACTGTACTACTATATCGAAAAATATTTTTCTACGATTGGAAATTATGGCAATACTGTACATCATCTTGGCTGCTTTGATGAAAACATTAATTAGAAAACAGTTAGCAACACAATTAGAAAATATTTGTAGATAATAATTTGTGGATAAAGGATGTTAAAAAAAGCTTACTAGCTTACTTTTGTCTAAACTTTTTTAAATGAGTTTTTTGTAGACTGACTTCTTATAAAAATTATTAAAACGTTTGTAATGCTTGGAGAACATTTCAAAAATGCACGAACATATAGAATTTTCGATAAATATACCATGTTCTTGCTTAATTTTTTCATAGTTTATGTTTAATTCGACCACAAAATTCATAAGCGATTTATGAAAATTAAATAATGTATAAAATGTAATTACAAATATTTTTATGAAGAATTAAATTAGAAATCTTAGTTAAGAGTTTCTATTATACAAATTGTCTTACGATCGATTATAATTTAAAAACTGCAATAAAGTAATTAATGATCTGAGAATTTAAGGAATAATAAAAAAAAAACTCGAACCAGAAAAAATCAACGTATAAATAAATTTGTGGCCCTAAAAAGGGCCGTTTATCTTGAGAGCAACAATTTACTTGGAGCTGGTGTACTTGGTGACAGCTTTGGTGCCTTCACTCACGGCGTGCTTCGCCAATTCTCCGGGCAGCAAAAGCCTGACAGCAGTTTGAATCTCTCGAGAGGTGATAGTTGAGCGTTTGTTATAATGAGCCAAACGCGATGCTTCAGCAGCGATACGCTCAAAGACATCGTTGACAAAGCTATTCATTATGCTCATAGCTTTGCTAGAGATTCCAGTGTCCGGATGAACTTGCTTCAACACTTTATAGATGTAAATAGCATAGCTCTCCTTCCTCTTCCTTTTTTTCTTCTTATCGGTTTTACTGATGTTCTTCTGAGCTTTTCCAGCCTTCTTCACCGCTTTGCCGCTCGCTTTCGGTGGCATGATTCAAGTCTTCGTATAGCGCCGTACAAGCGATTGCTGAGACGGAACTTCGAAAAGTGGCGGCCATGGCCCAGTGTGCTGTATATATACAGTAAAGCGACAGTGATGGCGCACCAATCGCGTTATACGACCCAACCAATCATCACGCGCTCGACATCCGATTGGGCGCGCGTAACCATCGCAATACAGTATAAATACTCGTCGAGAATCAGCTAAAGCAACACTCCGAGTGGAAACGTCGTACGATTCGTAACGCCTTGATCTCTCGTTCTTCACCAACTGCAACTATGTCAGGCCGTGGCAAAGGTGGAAAAGCTAAGGGAAAGGCGAAGTCTCGCTCTAATCGTGCTGGACTTCAGTTCCCCGTTGGTCGTATTCACAGACTTTTGCGAAAAGGAAATTATGCCGAGCGCGTCGGCGCTGGTGCTCCGGTCTACCTAGCTGCAGTGATGGAATACCTTGCTGCTGAAGTACTGGAATTAGCGGGAAATGCCGCTCGCGACAACAAGAAGACCAGAATCATTCCTAGACATCTCCAACTGGCCATTCGCAATGACGAGGAATTGAATAAGCTGCTCTCTGGTGTTACTATAGCTCAGGGTGGCGTGCTGCCGAACATTCAAGCAGTCTTACTGCCAAAGAAAACTGAGAAGAAAGCTTAACTGCAGCAATTCCAAACGGCCCTTTTTAGGGCCACTAATTTTTTCATACGAAGAATATCTCATTTGCAATTTTACCATTACCTTTATTATATTTTCTTTAATTTTTATACACTTTCAACTAGTCAATATAAATTATGTTGAAAATATTTGTATTTTCTTTCAATATCCATTTATTCTTGATTATTATACTATAAATAATAGGTTATATGGAAACAATTCTAAAATGCACGAAGTATAATCATTCCAAAATGAATAACACTATTTGTGATCTTGAAATTAATCACAATGAACAATCTAGAATATATCAATTATGTCGTGAACTACACTGGATTTGAAATACTGCACAAAAGCCTTTTCATATGCGTTGGACTCGTATTCGATTTCATCCCTCACTATCGCAAATTAAGTTCATAAAACTAAATAAAAAATTTATTGAAAAATTATTGAAAAAGAAAATATACAATTAAATAAAAAGAAATGTAAACTTTGTATCGCTATAAATCTAGCCCATGTCCTGTTTGATTGAACACTTCATGTTTTTATTCTAATTTAACATAAAAAGGCTAGAAATATTTCACTTATGTCTTAACATTTTATTTATAAATTATGGTTTTAAGAGTAATTTTCACCGTTTTATTATCTCTAAGTAAAACAATGATATATAAAAAATAAAATTTCATGCAAAAAATAGAAATTTTTGGAAGTCGCAGATTACAAATATAACATCAGATTTGCAAAATTTCCTGCTTAAATAAAAAAAAAATGTTTAATTAAACTGGTGAAAGACGAATTGATGCCATATTTTAAAAAATCATATCTTTACAACTAGGATTCATAAAAAAGAGTATATACTATACGAGTATATACTATATGTTAACATCTTAAAAGATGATAATCCGGGAGCGGAAAAGGCAATGCAGTTTTTCTATACATTAAATATAGATAATTTTAATATAAAATAAAATATTAAAATATCATTTTTATCGATAATTTTTATTTTATATAATTTTATAAATATTTCATTTAATAACTAAATATTTTACGACGTAAAACGTATTTCTGGTATTCCTACTTACAGTACGTGTCATTTTATAAACTATACCTTCCTTGATTTTCTTATTAATTTGTTTATATATGATCCTTAAGATCTTAGAATTAAATTTCAAGGCAGAAAGTGTGAGAACATTGTTAATATTCATTATCTCATAGATATACAATCAACTTAATCATAATGTAACTTTTTATTTCAAAAAGACATGAATTTATAATTAATTTGATAAATGTTATGTAAATTGGTCAAAACAACATAAGTTATCAAATATTAATTTATACAGACAAAGATCGTTTTGAATAAAATTCACGGCGAATGGCGGTTGACCATTTTTGTTGACACAAACCGCTCCATTTTTATCCTTCCGAATAAAATCTAGTATTGCAAGTGCCACATTATCGATTGTTTATATCGGATATTTTTTCGCTTCATCGTTAGTATTACCTATCATAGTACGGATCATAGATCTTATTGTTGATATCTGTTGCCAACGTTGTTACAAGCACATGATAACAACTCGCATTCTAGTTATGTCGTACATACTGCTAAAGACTGACTGATCTCAAAACAGCCAATTTTGAAGCGCAATACATTGGCATATATAAAATGGATATAATGCAACTATGAATGCAATATTAACTATTACCACCATTACCGCCTTTATGCTTCCCTATGTAATCAAATGCCAACATAGAGTTACGAATTAATGCCTTAACATTGAGATCGACCATTTCCTCTCAATATTTATCATTCAATATACTAGTATTATTGATAAGAATAGTCCTTTGTCCTTTGAATGCATCGACAATTTTTTTCAACGTCTCCAAATTATCAGTTTTTGTCACAAGCAAGGAAGACAGCACGACTCCTCTCAAATTCGTTTTCCAAAGTAATTACCGCATTCTGGCTGTTTGATGTTGGCATCAATTACGGCACTTTTTGCACTATTATGTAACAGTATTTCAGCGTACTTGTAGCCTAATCCGCTAGCTCCAATGATCATCACAATTTTATTTTGTATATTAAAATGCTAAGTTTCTTCGATAAAATATATACTTTAACTAATTGTAATGAATGATGTCTCTACAAACAGAGCGTTTCTAATTTAATAATTCTTATTGCGCTTACTGTCGCTGATGATTTATTAACAAACTTGATAATAAAAGATAATAAGATACTTTTATTTCTAAAAATGTGTTTTATTTAAGAAGACAAGTTGTAGTTACAATTTTTTTGAAATTCAAATATTAAAAAAATATTTAGCATTTATATGGAGACATATAATACTGACTACACATTATACTGACAAGAGTAAAAAAACTTTAGTGAACAACAAGATGAAAGCTCAACTGTTTCTGAAATATGAATATTTTTGTATGTAGCATCATGAATGAATTACTTGCTATATTTAGAAAATATTCCACAGTTAGTGAAATCTTCTGTTATGAAATGTGTATGGAAGTTGAATGAGGACATACAGAATGTAGTTTATAAACACTGAGGTGTAAACATCACACGCAACACGTAGAAGCCAGTAAGTCATTCATAATGCTACATACAAAAATGTTTATATCTCAGAAATGGTTGAGTTTTCGATTTATATTCACTAAGACTTTTTATTCAGTACGGTATGTACTAAGTATTATATAAATGTTGAATAGTTTTTTTTCATTCATTCTGTATAAATTTAATTATAAATGATAATATTATGTACATTAATGACATTTTAGAGAAAGATATTTTTTATTATATACGATTTCTTTCTTATTGTATTCTTATTAGTTTTTATTTTATTAAAAAACATACATATTCTGAAGTTTATAATCTTGTGCTAACCGTAGATCGATTTTATATAATAAATCTATTTAACTGGATACACTTCGATTTCTTTTAAATTTGCAATAAATGTAAATTTACATTATGCTAATCTCTTAAAGCTTTTGATAAAATACTTGTGAATTTTCATATGAATTACAATGAACATTATTCTTTATAAATAGAACATTTCAAGTTTGATGTTCCTTCTTATCTCACTTACTTTTTATTGCCAGTAATTTAGTAAAATTTGTTGACGGAAAATAATAATATACTTTATTTGCAAAAATACTTCTTTTACTGTTTCAATGTTAAATTTGAGAAGATAAATTTATAATTATTTAGATTAAGGGACATTTTCGAAGATCTTAATTTTAAGTTGTTGTCAAATATAAGTCACTTTAAGTCACTTTGCCTTAATAACTAGATGTAGTTTCTGAGATATTTAGAATTAAAATGCAATATTAGTAATAAATCTTCACCTTAGATGACAAATTCCGATAATTTCGACTTTGATATACGTAATTGTTAAAGTTGTAATGAGAAATTTTTAAAAGTTTTAATGTATGGTCACTATTTATTCAAAAGTTGTTAACAAAATAATTTTCATGGCATTTAAAAAGTAAACATATACTATTTATAAACTCATGTGGAACTTTCTTTGCATTATAACATTTAAAAAGTAAATGTATACTATTTATAAATTCATGTGAAACCTTCTTTGCATAAAGTGTATGCCTAAGTAAAGTGATTGTCACACTCTTTGAAGATTACACTGAAAAAAACTGGATGCGTACGTTTGGATTGAATTACAATTAGTATGATAATATCAGTACACTAATTTGGGTTGTCTGGAAAGTTCGTGCCGCAAAAGATTTAAATTTAATAAATGAAATTAAAAATTTAAATCTTCTGCGTTTCAATTTTCCTTCAAAATCGGCACGAACTTTTCAGACATCTCAATATATAAAGACATTGTACGTGCGTTAAAAGATAAGTTGTAATGAATATGAATATATGTCGTTCACATATAGAAATGTTAAAAAAGAACATAGATTTTGCAATTAATCTTTTCCTGTTAAAAATGTAATTATCAATCATGATGTCATCAGCCCTTCTTAAAAAAAATTTTTTTTCGTTAGGACATCTCATAATTCCTTTGATACATTTTTATCCCGCGAAAAATATCTTCATCTTTATAATTTTTATGTAATATTTTTCTATATAAATACATTTGAATTCGGTATAAAAAAATTTTCTAAACTCATTTTAATTCTTACAAATTTTAGAAATTTATATCTGAAAAAAACAAACAAATAATTAATCATCAATATTGTTTACTTGTAAGAGAAACTGAAATATTTATTTTTCTTCATAATTTATTATATATAATATATATATATTTTTTTTTCTTTTTTAATTTGAGAAAAGATTGATTATAAAGCTAAAATAAAATAAAATTTTCAAATGACGTCTGAAATTTTATTTGAAAAGTTTGCGTATCTATAAATAAAAAATTTAATTTGTTTTTAGAAAAGTTTAAAAAAATAAATAAGAATTATTTTTTTCATATTTTTCGAATTTATATTTGAACATAATTTTCGTTCTGCTTTAAATTACATTGTATTTCATAAATTATTTTTATACATTGACACAATAAATTATATAAAAACAAGAAAATATTCTTCAATCAAATAAAAATCAACAAATGTGATTAAATGGTTTATTTTGAATGCAAATACTTATTTATGACTTAGAAAGACGAGATACAATGTAATGCATATAATTTTAAATTATTGAGGCTATGATAGATATAGCTAAATACAATAAAATTGTTTAAAATGCAATTATAATATTAATATCGATGACATCAGAATTTAGAAAAATGTCAATTCAATATGAATTAGTAAGTCATATTGCTGACATTATAAACATTATTTTTCCATATTTTAAAAACTTAGTAATTAATGTACATTTTTAATAAGTAATACAGATAAAGAACTTTTTAAAATTAATCTTTGCAATCAAATAATACTTTCAAAAAAAAAAAAAAGAAAAAGTTACATTTCTCTCGCACGGTTTCAGTGTTACGGTTACGCTACTATTCTACTACGGCGCTGATTGGCTATTGGAATAGGAGAGGGGATACGACGTGCTGCCTCTCACTTATATAAAGCACGGCCAAAAGAGGCTACGGCAACACTTTCCGTCGAGTTCTCACGGAGTTATCATCGTTGATCGTATATAGTTCGAATATAGTTCGAAATGACTGGTCGTGGTAAGGGAGGAAAAGGATTGGGAAAAGGAGGAGCGAAGCGCCATAGGAAGGTCTTACGTGATAACATTCAAGGTATCACCAAGCCAGCCATTCGTCGATTGGCTAGACGTGGCGGTGTCAAGCGTATTTCTGGCTTGATCTATGAAGAGACCAGAGGTGTCCTGAAAGTCTTTCTGGAAAACGTCATTCGTGATGCTGTGACCTATACCGAACACGCCAAGAGGAAGACTGTAACAGCTATGGATGTGGTTTACGCTCTGAAACGCCAAGGAAGAACTCTTTATGGTTTCGGTGGTTAATTCGCTTTATCACTTCTCAAAATCAAGTCACAACGGCCCTTTTCAGGGCCAACAATTTTTTATACGTCGGAATTTTCTCTTAAAGCATATCTGTACTACACACCTACCTTGAAAATAATTAAAGATCACTACATATATGTATATATAGATATATGTGTTCTCCAAATTTTAGTGAATGTTTAATATAGTGTTCTTCGATTTTTCTGTGAATTCATGTGTTTTCAAACGTGGAATATATTCTAACATTTCGAAGAGAATAATTATTGCAAATTCCGTTTTTTTTTCTAGTTTCAGAAGATTTTGATGTTTGTTCACATAAAAGTATAAACTTTGAATCGCAAACTATTTTTTACTTAATTTGTATAAGAAAATAATTTAAATTATTAATTAAAACAGATTTGTTAATTTATCATTAACTGATATCAAAATTTATACTAAAAAAAACGGAACTAGGTGACAGTTTTCTTCCTGAATTTATTCTATGTTCTAAGATCACAAATTAATATTACAAAAAAATCGAAGAGAACATTTATACTAAACATTCAATTTTTGTTGGCAATATTAAAAATTAAAGCACTTAAGAAATAAGGAATCTTTTTTCCTTTATTCTGATTCAATTTTATGTAGTAAATCGCGTTTGAAATTAATGTTATTTAAATATTGTTATGAAGCGATTTCTACAAACATAATATAATATAATGTTATATATGGTAACAATATTAATCTACATTAATGCATCTATCTCCACAAAATATTGAAATGTATACACGTGCATCTTCGAGCCGATATTTGTCAATTTAACAGTTTCATTCATATTAATATTTTTATGTTTAACGTTAACGATAAATGTGACAGTCGAATTGCTCGCTCATTGTTGGGCGGAGCCTTTTGCATAAGATATAAGAGAATCAACAATCCGGTCGATATTTATAGTCTGTTCTTATTTTAAGACAGTCTTAAATAATATTTTAAGATACTCATACGCAGTGCCGTATTAAAGCATAGATCAAGTGCTTAGGGTAGCAAATTTTAGAAAGATTTTTTTTAAATTTAAGATATTGATATGGGTAATTTTAAGTCACTATAGATAGACGAGAGAATATAATGAAACACGACCCATAATAAAGAAATATTAAATTTGTTTTCTGTTCTTCATATCGAATTCATTGTCACGAGCTCAAATTACGATGATATCGATGAATTTTCTACATTAAAATGTAGAAAAAGATCATTTTAATTATAACTAACATATTTTAATTTTTGTAATTTTGTTTTCTTTATATTTCAAATAAAAGAAATTTTTTTCAAGGACAAGATCTCGAGAAAATCAACTTTTTAATTAATTTAATATAACTTTCGAAAAAAATTTTACTCTGGTAACATGATATTTTGTAGAAAGTTGCTTGAAATATCAGCCCCTGGACGCAAAACGGATTAATGCGGCCCTGCTAATACTGCTTTGTGATTGGCTTATAACATCTTAAGACTATTTAAGACGGTCTTAAATATAAGAACCGACTATGAATACTAGCCTGAGGGTTCTTCCTTTCCATGAAAGAAAGGACTCTGATTGGTTGATTTTCTTACACGTTATGCAAAAGTCTGTGCTCTCGGCTCTTGCCCTATAATACAGTCAGTATTATAGTAGCTTCCACTGCTGCAGATAAAGAGAAAGCTCTCTGAAGCGAGCGATCGGTTCTGAACGCTTGAATACGCGGATACGTGAACACAATTGAAAGACAAAGAGAGGTTTATACTTCTTGGTTATTTTATTAATATTGACTGACCGCCATTTTTATTCTCAATGATCAGAAAAACAAGGAATGAAAACTTTTCACGAGAGGAGAAGGAATTCGTTGTTCGATTTGTGAATGAGCATCTAAAAATCTTGGAGAACAAGAGCAACACTTCGGAAGTGTACTTGAAAAAGCGCGACAAATGGCGGGAGTTAACCGAAAAACTGAAGGCGTTCGGGGTCGTAAGAGATTGGAAGGAAGTGCGACATGCATATCAAAGATGGAAGTGGTTTGCCAAAAAGAACATCACTGCTTTACAAAAATGGGGCGACAGTGTACCAGCGAGTATGTCACCAACGGAATTTGATTATATGATATATAATGTATGCTCCCAAGAATTTGAGGATGATGAGAGTAATTTTTCAAATGAATCCGAAAATAATGTAAGTGAAATAGGAACGCGCGAGGGCATCGTAGTTTTTTTTCTAAAAACAAAATTGAAAAAATGTGTATATCAAGATATATTTAATTTTTCTATAAATCGTAGTATAATGAAGAAAATGTTTTTTTTGTAATGTATGATATAAAGAAATCTAAACTTTGATATAATTTTAATATAAATAATAATTAAAAATTTTATAT